TTTATTTCTTGATATTTTTCGGTTTTGCCAATAATCAATATATATCAACCCTCTACGCACACCTTGGCAATATAATCGCCATTGGCTAGTACATTTTTTTGTTTACTCGCCAGACTGATATACTATTTTATACACACACACACACACGTTTACTTAGCTGTCTAAATGGGGACATTCATTAGACTTCGATTGTTTTTATATACAGATAGTTATACACTTTTTAACCTAAACCCACCCCTAACCCTACCCCTCACAGAAAACTTTCTGCATTTTTACAATTTCTAGCAGCGCAAAGGTTGTGTGTTCAATTCCCAGGGAATTGTTTTTATTACTGCCATTATTCACATACACCACTGCACAGCACAAATGATGGGTGTGTTGGCCGCTGTTTTAATTTATTTACAACTGGTTCGCCGGTTCTTCTGTATCCGGCCTCGGACATTTTTGCTGTCACGCGCCTAAAAATGTCCCCGTTTCGGTGTTTTCTTCCATCAATGTACTGCATTATGTTCATATCACGCAACGTCGACAACATAAACTCCGTTTTCTCAGCTCCCCAAAAATGTGACGTTCGCTTCTCCGCCATCGTTTTTAATCTGCGTATTGTGCGTGCCACGTCAGTGTGTACGTCACGAGTAGAGCCCGACCGATATGGGTTTTTTGGGGCCGATACCGATATTAGGGAGTAAAAAAGGGCCGATATCGATATATCGGCGGATATTCTTTGCGTATATTATAATTGTGCGTGCCACGTCAGTGTGTACGTCACGAGTAGAGCCCGACCGATATGGGTTTTTTGGGGCCGATACCGATATTAGGGAGTAAAAAAGGGCCGATATCGATATATCGGCCGATATTCTTTGCGTATATTATAGTACAGTACCAGTCAAAAGTTTGGACACTTTCCCATTCATGTCCAAACATTTGACTGGTACTATATATAGAATACAGTATATACAAAAACAGAATATATATGCATAAACAAATTTTTTGCAGTGATCACTCAAATGTGGTGATGAAACACTTTGACGTGACAAAGATATGTAATGGAGGAAGTGGAGGATTTAATCTAGCGGGTCTAGTGTCTCGTGTCGCAAATTCAATGACGCAGGTAGTGACGATTCTCTCCGGCAAATCAGTGATCAGCAGGGTTTACACAAGTCACATTTTGGTAACGGTACGGCTCGCTTGGAACCTCGGCCGAGGTGGTACTGAAAAAGGTACCAGGTACTGTACACAGTGGAAAACACCCCAAAAGCGAGCTGTGCCGTGCCGTACCATGCAGCGGAAAAGCGCCATAAGTTCGCAAATTCAATAGTGAAAGTGAAGGTGTCCGAAGCCCGGCTTATAGAAAAAAGAGGAACTTCCATTCACAAAATTCAAATCACAAATAATACTGATGAAAAAGAATGAGTTGAATGTTAATCCCACTTACGCCAACGACATGGCCTGTGCCCAATTTATAGGAGTGACAGCAGACAATCTCTGAAAAAAGACTGCTGATAAAATTTCCTCAGCACACTATCTATCGTTTCTGATTGATGGTGATACGGACATCTCCACCAAAGAATGTGAGATTGTCTATGCCCGTGTCAATAATATTGTAAGACCTGCCAACATCCTAATTGGTCACATTGACATTCAACTCGCCTATGCAGAAGGTAAAGTGAGATTTCTGATTTTTGTTACCATATAACTATAAACTATGTTAACTGAAAAACTATTCATCAGCATACATTGATCAATCTCATGATGTAGAAAAAAAAGGTGCGACCAAGTCGTGTGCTCGTGTGACCAGCTGAGAAAGTTCGTTGCACCAGTGCGACCACTGGGAATGAGTCTAGAGCCCTGGTCCTCCTGGAGCAGTTTTAGTGCGCTAGTGGAGATCTCTCTACCATGTAAAAGTTTGGAGTCAGTAAGATATTTTTGATGCTTTTGAAGGAAATCTATTATGATCACAAGGTCTGCATTTATTTGATCAGAAATACACTAAAAACAGTAAAAATTTGAAATATTACAAAAATAACAGCTTTCTATTTTAATATTTTACAATGTATTTTATTCCTTTGATGTCAAAGCTGAATTTTCAGCATCATTACTCCAGGCTTCAGTGTCACATGATCCTTCAGAAATAATTTCTTATTATTATCAATGTTGCAAACAGCTGTGCTGTGTAATACTTTTTGTGGAAACATACATTTTCAGTAAAAAAATGTATGTATGTGTATGTGCAAAATGTATGTTTCAGTATTCTTATTTTTGGCCCATATTACAATATACACATTTTTAAGTAACAAACTTCTGAGAAAAAAAAAAAAGTTAGATCCTTACTTCATCTAATTTATTACACATTTGAATGTATTTGAAAGAGTTGACCAATTTTAAAGGGGTCATATGATGCTGCTAAAAATAATTTTTTTGTGTGTATTTGGTGTAATGAAATGTGTTTATGTGGTTTAAGGTTCAAAAAACACATTATTTTCCACATACTGTACATTATTGTTTCTCCTCTATGCCCCGCCTTTCTGAAACGCGTCGATTTTTACAAAGCTCATCGGTCTGAAAAAGCGAGGTGTGCTCTGATTGGCCAGCTATCCAGTGCGTTGTGATTGGCCGAATTCCTCAAGCGTGTGACGGAAATGTTACGTCCCTTACCATATTGTGATGCCTGCGGCAACCTCATGTTATCGACCCCGGGCTGGACTCCGCTTCGTCCACGGTGAAAGTCGATCCGGCGATCGACAGCACGAAGTTGAAGTATTTCCTCAGCGACCAGCATGGATCAGCTCCAGGCATGACGAAGCAGATATCGTCCTCTTTTGGAAGGCCGAACAAAGTAGTTTCACTTTCACAACAAAGCACACAGCGCCTTCACAACATGCCAGCGGCGGCAACAATACTACAGTGAGAATAAAAGTTACGCCTTCTTTCTTTGCGTGAACATTTGGGCGGCGTTATGCAAATCTTCCCACACAGTGACGTAGCTGTTATATTGCCAACCCCTAATTTTGTAAAAGTGGTCAAATAAAATATTAGCTATCAGTATCTGCCTCAAATTTCCTGATGGGTGCATCCCCACTATTTATGATTGTCTTCTGACTCTGATTATTTTGTTTCATGCTTTTATGTATATGTACTAGTGCATATTTGATTTGATTAGATCAATATGAAAGCCATCCTGTACATTCATCAGCAGAAAACATGCTGGCTGCAGGCCATCCTTTACCTCCATTACTGTCCTCCTCCTCTCATCACTCTCAGAGCTTCTCCTCTGGCATTGCATAAGATCTCCCAATCAAACACTCCTACTTCAGACTGCAGGCCTGGTTCAGGATGTTGAGGTTCATGGCCTGCAACTATTCTGGAAATCCTGCTATCCTCTGCCAGCTTAAAGCATTGTGGAAAGAATTTACTTGAGTCAGCAGGGTAAACGAAATTACACGTTTCATACTTGCACACAGGACATCATCTCTCAAAGAAATTGATAATGAAATCATCTGACAATAGATGTTATTTGTTTGTATTTGTTTGTTATTATTTGTCATTTCAGTCATTGTGCCCTTTGTGTTTGGTGACATGTGAAAGGGAAGTTAGAATGTTCTGATGGAGCTGCTGCAGTGCAGCTCTCTGTGGATCGCATTTATTATAGATTCATTGAAGCTGTCATCTGTGCCCCAGATTTTAGTCCTTCGTTTTCATTCTGTCCCCATCTCTGCTCAAAAGTGGATCAATCCCCCGTCCTTTCCTCGTTACCCTGTGCTGTCCATCTCGATGGACAGGGTCTGTTTAACAAAAACCACTGTCAGACCTAATATGTCTTCTGTGTGATATTTAAAATGAGAAATTACAGCTGTTTTACTGATTCAAATATTTCAGGACCACTTGTTGGAGTTTATGAGTTAGCCTGATGCATGCACAAGTTGCATAACATTTGCTGTCTACATGTTTTTTTCCTTGCTGCTAGTAAAACATACAAAATAAAACTTAGTATGACTTGGCAAAAGAGGCAAAACAATCATATCTATTTTTCAGCCTATCTTCTCTGTATATTTTCTCTGTAATGGCTTGATGGGAGAAAAAAAACACAATAGCCATTAACAAAATGCTAAATACATTTAAAATAAGCAAGAAACAAAATGCAGTAAAAAGTTAATCAACTGTTTTCAACAGTATTTTTTGCTTAGTGAATAGTTAAATGTAAACATCTTTATTTATGTTAACCCCAAAAAAAAACAGTTTCCACAAAATATTAAGCAGCTCAGCTGTTTTTAATATTAATGATAATAATAAATGTTTCTTGACCAGCAAATCTGTATATTAGAATGATTTCTGAAGGATCATGTGACACTGAAGACTGGAGTAATGATGCTGAAAATACAGCTTTGCTGTTACCAAAATAAATGACATTAAAATATAAAACATTATTTTATAACATTATTTTAGGTTGTAATATTTCACAAAATTATGCTTTTTACAGTATATTTAATCAAATTAATTCAGATGAGTATTAGAGATTTCTGTCAGAAACACAAAAAAAACTTGCCAATCCAGAACTTTTAAACGGCAGCTTATATAGTCAGCAAATCATTGTGATTATATTGTGAATATTCAGTATATCGCTCATCCCCAGTACTTGGTCACCTGATTCCAGTCCAGCCATTATGACCCGCTCATAATTGCAGCAGTGTGTTGCCTTGGCAGAACAGTGCTATTTTCCACAAGCTCATGCAGGGACACACAGATCACAACACACAGACAGACAAATGAGGTTCACAATCAAGGGGAGAGGAAGGTGTAAATGAAACTGTGGGGGACCAGAGAGCCTCCCAAATAGGAGCTCTGTTTAAACTGTGCGTTGGTGTGAAATAGCACAGTAAGAGATCTGGAAATCTTTCCTTGGAGGTTTGCAGGTTGGTTTGATTGACTGTTTTGCCTGCTGCACATCTCCTGCCTGACAGGTGTCATTTAGGCTGTTTTGTTTATTGTGTCTCCAATTCCAGATGCCCCACCCATGGATCGAGAAGAACTGTTTGTCCAGAAACTGCGGCAGTGCTGCGTGCTTTTCGACTTTGTGACTGATCCACTAAGTGATCTCAAGTATAAAGAGGTGAAGCGAGCCGGCCTCAATGAAATGGTGGAGTACATCACACACAACCGCGACGTGGTCACAGAGTCCATCTACCCTGAAGCTGTTATCATGGTGAGGGGGCACAAATATATCCTAAGCACACACACATCAACTCATCCCCATTGCTTTTCATACATGATGCCTGTGCATGTAAGCAATTTGTGGCTTAGTTCACACCACCCTATCACTCTTGAGTGCACAACTCTGATTCTAAATAAAGTACCGCATTTCAAAAATCACTTGGCAGTTTTCTCAAATGTAATCGTTTTTTGTTTTTTTTTAATATGGAATATTGGCCCTTTAATTTAGTTTCCATGGCAACATTAATCCTCTCCTACCATCTTGAGATCCCTCAGTTGTGAGCATAGTAGGTGATGCATCAGCTGCACTGCATTGTGTGATTTACCTTTCACGTGAGTCACAAGAACTCATTCGGAGTTACGAGGCATGGAGGATTCAGAGTTATTGTACATTAAAACTGTGATGCAACCTATAATCTAGAAAAAATATTCGTAAACATGTTGTGATTCTTCATTTGACACCTGCGGAGTTGTCAAGTAATTTTGTCTAGTTGAGTACTTGACAGGGTCCATTTGGTTCCTGTACTGCACACACATCTTTTGTGCAGTTGTAGGCCTGTGAACAGTACACGTGCATGTCAAACATTAGCTTCCACTACTACTTTATTTGTATTTCTTTCCTTTTGACCCACATATACATTGGTTAGCTGATTCTCATCTGGTCAGAAGCTAATGGGACAAAACATGTGGCAAGTACAGTTCCCTGCTTATCAGGATCCTGGATTATCACATCCTCTGTGACCAATTGAACGTAATGGCTTTTGCTTGACTGACGCACAGGAGATTACTAGCCAGACCCAGGATAAAATCTGCTCAAGTGTAAATGTACACCAGGGAATTATAGGTAATTAGCCGTCATAAATCAAGGCCTAGACACCTGCGTTTCCTTGCAGCCATTCATAATTCAGAGAGGAGATCTGCTGTGTCCCAAATAGGGCTCCGGGATATAGCAAAAAAAAAAATATATATATGAATATTTATGTTTTCACTGAAATAAAATAGTTAAAAAATTTTTTTTTTTTTTTTTTTTTAACTAAGTGCAAATAAAGCATTATATTTAACTATTTTCTTTTATATTCACCAATACAAAGATACATTAATACACAGCAATATTTACATACATGGACATGTAGGGAAATGCTACTAACACAGGCTTTAAGAAACTTAACGGCCAAAAAAAAGCGCATTAAAGTCATTGTGATGCATTGTGATATAAAATTATCTGGGTTATATTGTGAACATTTAATATATGAGAGCCATAATCCCAATAATAAATCTTGCGACTGTATTGTAAGATAGTCGCAATTAGGGGTGCTCCGATTGATCGGCTACCGATCACTATCGGCCGATAATCACAGTGGGATGTTTGATCGGCGGTCTCTAAAAAGGCCGATCTCAAAAAAAACGATCTCAAGCTGATGACGCTGCAGTAAGAGGTTTGGCATGACATGCAGCGCCACCGTCTCAGTCTCTGTCCGGCGCGGGTGAATTAATTATAATGCTGAAGGTGAGGTACTCGCCTTCATATTTCTTCATTAAATAACTTATAAAGTAATTTGAAAACCTTGTGTGAGACGTAATTTCACAAACAGCGCGAGTGAATCACCGCGCGCGCTCTCTTTCTCTCTCAAAATACGCAAATGGTTTCAAATCACCACACATCGCGTCTATCTTATAAGCGAGCTGCACGCTGCACAGTTGACACAGGAATTGTCACTTGCACAATCTAGGGCAGTGTCACTTTGTCACTAAAGTTTATAAATTGCATTACTTTTAAATTCTTACCAGTGTTTAACCATTATGCGCTCATGCACACTCGCAGCGCACACACATAACGCCAGGTTCACATTACTCCGTTTGCAGTGCGTATGTGGTGCGTATTATTTCCGCGCTCATGTTAACGGATTAATAAAGCGTGCACACTGCAGACGGTTGCGGTCCGGCAGTGCGTTCCA